CTTGGAACCACGACTTCAATGCGAGCCTACGTGCCGGCCAGGAATAGGATTCAATTCCCCCACCCAGCCTTCGACTCGAGCCTCGGTTGACACGATTGTCTGGGGATTTGACTTGTGATAGAGCAAATTCACCATCGACGAGACTCTGACGAAGACGACACCCACAAGGCGCTTCGTTCCAGAGGGATCTGACAATCATTGTCGGGCTCGGCAAAGTTCGTCAGAGTCTTCTTTCTTGTTCTACAAGGGCATTGTCTTTCGCTGTCACTACTGTGCAGATGTCTCGCTCGCCTTTCGGCCGAGTCGGCTCGCCTGAACAGTACCACAACTGGCAGCATTGCTCGTCATCGTGGTGATCCACCAGATCTATCAGTCTCCGGCCCCATCCACCGCACCGTTGCACCCTGCCTACCGCAACGACTTTCTTGTCTGGGGCTAGTGACTGCTTCTGATTGCTCAACTGGCTCGCTTGGCCAAAGGGCCGAATTGATACAGCAGATCGATCGATATATGCGGTCTAGTATACCACAGGCAAGCCGCCCCGCAGTCTTTTTCGACCACTGGCCAGTGGCTCGGCCCCTGAATTGGTGCAACCTCACAAGTTGATCTGTCAAATCGTGGACCAAAATTCATGGATGCCAAGTCAGGAACGTATCATTCTTAGCTGGGATGTCAACCTTTTTCTTGATACATATTGCGCCAAGTGAGCCTGGCGATCTGCAGGTTCAGGGCTCAAGTGAGCCATCGTAGGAACGCAGGGCAAGAAACAAGATGCCGGCATGCTAAGCCAGGCGTTGATTCAGACTATAAGTATACACGTTGTAAGCCGCAGGATCTTGAGGGTGTCCTGAGTCGTTCCATCTTTGGTACGGTGGAAGATCGATTCATCTGGTCTCACTGATACAGAGCCAAAAAGCGTGAAGCATCTTCGCCTTGTATTTCGTGAACATGGCGCCCTCCCCTCTGAATCTTCTGCTCCTCGGAGCAGTTCTTTCCCATAGCACAGCCAGTGTCATCAGCCCAAGACAACGAGTCCCTGATGGGGTTCGTTGCCAAATCAGTCTACCCTACACCGCATGGTGGCTGGGACCGTGACTGGGTAGACAGCTACGAACGCGCCAAAGCTATCGTTGACCAGATGACTCTGGTCGAAAAGACCAACATTACTTCCGGCAGCGCTGGTGGATGGGTACGTGCCGGTCGCTACTATGACTTGA